TCTGTTGATAGAAATGAGGTGAAGAAATCTGGTCTTAGGTTGTCTAGTTCGTCTCCAATTGTGAATTTTGGAACATCTAAAGTGACTCCTTCTGATGAAAAGTTTGATGGGTCGAGTAGGAAGAGTTATAGAATCGAAGATGTGGATGAGGTTTATAGTGTTGGCTCGGTGAAATCGGGGTCGAAAGAAAGGGTTAATAGGGTCAATGAGGAGGCTACTATTGTCAAGACTTTGTCTGATCAGTTAAACGAGGTTTTAGGTGATAGTGATGATTTGGTTTCTTGTAATGCTCGACCTCGCGGTAATGGACGTAGTAAAAGACGGAAATTTAGAGGGACTAGGAGACCGGGAAGGGCGGATACCGTTGAGGACGATGTTGGTAATAAGATTGAGATGTCTATGGCTTCTAACCCAGGGCCTAGAGCTGAGAAGTATGAGGAAGGTGGAGGAAGTAAAGAACAGAATATGACTAGAGCTGTTCCGAAAAACGGTTGTGGAATGCCGTTTAATTGGTCGAGAATTCATCATAGAGGCAAAACTTTCCTCGATATAGCTGGTCGGAGTTTGTCTTGCGGAATGTCTGATGCAAAGGGAAAGAAAGGCGAAACCGATATGCCAATCTCGTCTGAATCAAGCTCATCTTTCACCAAATCTGATCATGAGGCAACGCCTTTTTTAGTCGATAGCGCAAATAATGAAGGTTGGGTGCATGATTACTCAGGGGAATTGGGTATTTTCGCCGACGATTTGCTCAAGAATGAAAAAGATTCAGACTTTGGCCGTAGAAATGCTCGGCGGCATCAAAGTCTTACGCAGAAGTACGCTCCAAGAACATTTCGGGACCTTGTGGGACAGAACCTGGTGGTGCAAGCTCTATCTAACGCTGTTGCGAAACGAAGAGTTGGACTTCTTTATGTATTCCATGGTCCAAATGGAACCGGAAAGACTTCGTGTGCGCGGATTTTCGCTAGAGCCTTGAATTGTCATTCTATGGAACAATCAAAGCCTTGTGGCAGATGCAGTTCATGTGTTTCCTATGATAATGGTAAGAACCACAACATTCGGGAAATGGGTCCTGTCAAAAAGTTTGACTTTGATAATATGAGCATCTCTCAGCAGAAAAGGCAGCACCTTGTGTTCATATTCGATGACTGCGATGCTATGTCAACAGATAGTTGGAATGCGCTTTCGAAAATCGTGGATCGAGCACCTCGTAGTGTGGCTTTTATTCTCGTCTGCTCGAGTCTTGATGTTTTGCCTCACATTATCGTTTCAAGGTGCCAGAAATTCTTTTTCCCTAAGCTCAAAGACGCAGATATCATCGATTCTTTGCAACGGATTGCATCAAAGGAAGACATCGATATCGATAAAAATGCCCTGAAGCTCGTTGCTTCGAAATCAGATGGTTCTTTAAGAGACGCTGAAATGACTCTAGAACAGCTGAGTTTGCTCGGAACAAGAATCTCTGTTCCTTTAGTTCAAGAAATGGTAACAATCGAAACTTTTTCTTAAGATCGAAACTTTCACTACATTTTTCTCTATAATGTTCTTGTTTTTTACTTTCCAGGTTGGGTTAATCTCTGATGAGAAATTAGTTGATCTTCTTGATCTAGCCTTATCCGCGGATACCGTAAACACTGTGAAGAATCTGAGAATAATAATGGAAACCGGCGTAGAACCATTAGCTCTAATGTCGCAGCTTGCAACTGTCATAACCGATATTCTTGCGGGAAGCTATGATTTCGCTAAAGACCAATGTAGAAGAAAGTTTTTCCGGCGACAACCACGTGAGTTTCGAAACATTTCCATACTGAGATATCTTTGTAACTGTAATAACCGATTTATTTTGTTGTAGTGTCTAAAGAAGATATGGAGAAGCTGAGGAAAGCTTTAAAAACGCTATCCGAATCAGAAAAACAGTTGAGAGTATCGAACGATAAACTCACTTGGCTCACTGCTGCGTTGCTGCAGCTAGCTCCTGAACAACAGTACTTGCTTCCGCCTAGCTCTTCCGCTGATGCTAGCTTTAACCGTACTCCATTAATGAATCCAGATCCTTCTAACGACGTCGCAGCAGAAAGAAGAAATGGCACTAGTAGACAAGAGTTCAGTTGCATAAACCGACCTTCGGTTGAAGAGATTTGGTTAGCGGTTATAGAGAAGGTTCGCGTTAACAGTTTAAGGGAGTTTCTTTGTAAAGAAGGGAAGATCTTTTCGATTAGTATCGGTTCAGGTAAGAGCATTCATTCATATCGAAAAAAGCTTCTCTAAACCGTGTGTTTATGTCGATGATTCTAACTTTCTAAGTGTGTTGCAGCTCCTACGGTGCAGCTAATGTTCAATTCGCCATTAGCGAAATCAACAGCTGAGAATTTCAAAGATCACATTTTGAGAGCGTTCGAGGCGGTTCTTGGATCTCCGGTCACGTTAGAGATCAGAACCGAGTTAAAGAAAAACGTCGGTTCATCGCCATTACAAGATTTAAGCAATGGCGAGAGATTCCGAGATAGCGGAAGAAGCGAAATCGTAGAAGTGGCTGATGAATCTGAATCTACAATGAGTCGAGCTAGAAGGAAACATTTGGAAGCT